AGAAAATCTCAATTAACTAACTTCTATTTAACTTCTATTTAACAATCTCACATAGAGGTTTTGATTTTAAGAGTACTTACGTGTAGGTCCTAATAAGTTGACTTATTGTCTAATAGGTCCTATGAAAAAATTTTGTCATAAAAAAACCGTCACTAATTCTAAGTTTTAGCGACAATTTATAAAAATCATGACGAAAAAAAGTCTCTAACTGTCAATTTTTAGCGACGTATCTAAAAAATTATCATAAAAAAAATATTTTAATGGAAATATTATCAAGACTTATTTTCAAAAGGACTTGATGGGAATTAAGTCAAACTATTAGAACCTATTGGTAGTTTACCCTTGATTTTTTAAAAATAATTTGTATGAGATTTTGAAACTCTCATAATATCTCTCCTTCAAAGTATTTTTTTGTAAAATATATAGATACATTAATAATTTGAACGTCACTCTTATTGCTTCTTAATACAAAAATTATGAGATAATTATGATAATTTTAAATTTGTATTTAAAGCTTATAAATCATGGGATAAATTATTATAATTTTAAATTTATATCGTGCCAATTGTAAATTTAAATTAATAGATTGCTTTCCATATTTAGTGACAGTTTAAATTTTAATAAAATATGATTTAAAAGTTTTAATTAATTAATTTTTGTGTAAGCTAGTTGGCATTTTGACCTAATTGATTAAACTAAATTATTTGTGGTTTGAATGATCTACTGATTTAACCGTGATTTTAGCGGTTTTACCAAAATATATTGGTTAGATTTGTTTGATTCAAAATAAACTAAAAAACTGAAATTACTTGATTAGAAATAAATTTCTCATCCAAACAATTGTTAATTTATTTTATAATCTCACATCGAAAAAAAAAGAAAAAATGGGTTGTTTCACTTCTATAAAGTGAAACTTATAAAGGGGGTTTTGAGGGAGAAACTTTCTAGAAGCTCCAAACTTTTATTCTAAAATTATTGAATTTTTTTAATTTTAACCAATTAAGAAAATTTCCGTTAGCTAGTTTCCATTTACCTTATATTTTAAAATCTCACATTGGGAAAAAAAAAGTGAATTGTTTCACTTACATAAAGTGAATCTTATGCTCTCATTTATATAAATTATTGAATTTTCTTAATTTTAAATAATTACAAAAATCTTCATTGGCTATCTTCAATTTTACCTTTATTTTACAATCCCACACTAGGAAAAGAAGGAAAAAGTGAATTGTTTCACTTACATAAAGTGAATTTTATGCTCTCATTTTTATAAGCAAAAGGAGATTTTTAGTGAGAAACCCTATAATCAATATCTCATACCAATTTTTTTTCTTCTTATTTTTAAATAATTAAGAAAATCCCCATTGACTAGTTTCTATTTAACTTTTATTTTATAATCCCACGTAGAGATTTTGATTTTAAAAATAATTTTGTAGGTTGTTTGGAATGTCCTAAATAAGTGCACTTTTTGACTTTTTGGACTAAAAAGTTGAGGAAGAAAATATGATTGTTTGAGTTAACGTTTTGACTTTTTATGGAAAAATGTGTATTAAAAAATTATATAAATTAGTGTGTAGGGGAAAATTAAAATTAGGATTGAGAGTTGTGCAGCCGTACTTTTTGACTTTTGGTGAATAGTGATAACTTTTTAACTTTTTGAATAATTTTTTGGCTTTTTAGCTTTTTAGCTTTTTTGCCACATGCCAAACTTGGCCTTAACTTTAAAATAATTACAGTCTCACATCGAGAAAAGAAAGAAAAAGTGAGTTGTTTCACTTATATAAAGTGAATCTTATACTCCCATTTAATATTGTAGTATTGTGCATGTTTCAGTTTAAGATGTTTTAAATTTTAAAATAAATTTTAAAAGTTTTAAAAAATTAATTTTTTTGTAAATTGGTTGGTCTTTTAACTTAGCTGATTAGGCTGAATCATTTTCGGTTTGACTAATTTACTAGTGCAACCGTGGTTTTACCTATTTTATCAAAATATATTGCTTAGATTTGTTTGATTTAAAATAAACTAAAATTGATCTTATTAAAAATTGAACGACTGAGATTGTTTGATTAGAAATGAATTTTCCGTCCAAACAAGTCTTAACTTTTATTTTATAATCCTACATCAGGAAAAAAGAAGGAAAAAATGAGTTGTTTCACAATATAAATATTATGCTCCCATTTAATATTATAGCGTTGTATATGTTTCAATTCAAGATAGTTTAAATTTTAAAATTAAAATAAAATTTAAAAGTTTTAACTAATTAATTTGTGTGTATAAGTTGATTAGTCCTTTGACCTAGCCAATAGGGTGAATCATTTTTTGTTTGACTGATTCACTAGTTTAACATCGATTTTAGCAATTTTATCAAAATATATTGGTTAGATTTGTTTGATTCGAAATAAATCAAAAATTGACCTAATTAAAGATTAAACGACTGAGATTGTTTGATTCGAAATAAGCTTCCCGCTCAAATAATTATTAACTTTTATTTTATACAATTCCACATTGAAAAAAAAAAAGAAAAGAAAGAAAAAGTAAGTTATTTCACTTATATTATATAAGGAAAATGAGGTTTTAAGAGAGAAGATTTTTAGGAGTTCTAAACCCTCATTATAAAATTATAAAATTTTCTTAATTTTAAACAATTAAAAAAATTTTGATTGGTTAACTTCCATCTAACTTTTATTTTACAATTCCACGTCGAAAAAAGAAAAAGAAAAAGTAAATTGTTTAATTTACATAAAGTGAATCTTACGCTTTTATTTATATAAATTATTGATTTTTCTTAATTTTAAACAATTAAGAAAATTTACATTAGTTAACTTCCATTTAATTTTTATTTTACAATCTCACATCGAGAAAAGAAGGAAAAAGTGAATTGTTCACTTACATAAAGTAAATCTTATACTCTCATTTATATAAACAAAAGGAGATTTTAGTGAGAAACCTTATGATCAATATCGCATACTATTTTTTTTTTATTTTCTTAATTTTAAACAATTAAGAAAATCTCAATTGGTTAATTTCCATTTAACTTTTATTTTACAATCCCACATAGAGATTTTGATTTTAAAAATAATTTGGTATGAGATTTTGAAACTCTCATAATATCTCTCTTTAAAAGTATTCTTTTGTAAAATATATAGATATATTGATAATCTCAATATCACTCTTACTGCTCCTTAATACAAAAATTATAAGATAATTATGATAATTTTAAATTTGTGTTTAAAACTTATAAATTATGGAATATATTATTATAATTTTAAATTGATATTAATATATTGTTTTCCATATTTAGTGATAGTTAAAATTTTAATAAAATAGAATTTAAAAGTTTTAATTAATTAATTTTTGTTTAAATTGGTTGGTCTTTTGACTTAACTAATTAAACTAAACAATTTTTGGTTTGAATGATTTGCTGGTTTAACCATAATTTTAGCTGTTTTACATGTTACAATGATTCTTTCTTACTCATGAAATTTTTAAAATTTCTTTAATTATTTCCCTTTCAAAAACCAATATGACAATTTTTAAAATTTATATATTTTTATTCTAAAATAGTGAAATATTATAACTATGTCATTTTTTTATAACAAAGTATAATTTTAATTATTAATTGTCAATACAATAGTTTTAATCTATCTTTGTTATATGTTATAGTAAAGGAACATTTGAAATAAAACTCTTAAACACGTTATATATAAAATTTTATTTATGAGAGATAAAATATAAAAAAAATTAAATATAACTATTATATTTTTAAAAAATAATATATTATTTTATCCCGTGTATATCACATGTGATATGCTAGTTTGCAGGAAAATAAATAAATAAATAAATAAAGGGTAATGTTTGTTGTTTGGAGGAGGTGGATTACTCACTAACCCATACGGGAGTCAAATGAGGCTTGATATACCCTTCATTCCAAGTTTCTATTGGTAGGCTATTCAATTATCTCCATTGTAATCATATTTCCTATTAAAACAATCATATTATGGTAAAATTGCACATAGAAAAAATAATTTCATAAAGTTTATTTGACCAATTGAATCTGCTTAAATAATTTCCCATTAGAATTTTGGGCTTTACAAACACAATTATTCCTAATTACATCTTTTTAAATTTGTAATTATTCATCTCACTCAACACTAATTTTTAATTTTCTCAAAATTATAATATAATTTTCACGGGCTTTTCTTCAATGATATTTTAGCTGACTTTAGAAAAAAGTTTAGTGGCTTAAGGATGTACTTCACGTCTTTTGAAAAAATGAAAATCGAAAATAAAAATACAACTAAATAGACAAATCTTTCAATGAAAAATCTTAACACCGATTCTTCTCTACAATTTTTGTAGGTTATCGTCAATAGAGTAAACAATTCTTTGATCCACATTTATATTTAAAACTTTAATTAAATATTGTTAAGACGCGAGAGCGACCAAACTTAGATAAATAAATGAACCTAAATAACTTGAAAACAAGTCATACTCTTCCATATCACATTTTCACATAGGAAAACAACACATACACTAACATAAACAATGACACAAGTAATTCATTTATGAATCACATACTTTAATTAGAATGGAATTAAGATATGATAGGAGAGGACAGATGCCTAAATAAATAAGTGTCATTTAATCCAACAATTAAGAAATCCAAACAAATTAAAAACATGCCCCATACTTTCTATACCATGTTTGCGCAGACACAAGACTTAATGGATGACGAACTTGATATGGGCTAAAATATACCATCAAAATGAGAGCCTAATCAGTTTAAATTTTTACTATAAGCAACCGGAAAAATTATTTGAAAACAAAACCAGATGTGTCAACTGTTGCAATTTCCATAAATCCATTGGTATCGAACCTGTCAAATTGTTCACTGACAAGTCCAATTTAATTAATTTCGGTGACTCAATTAGAGTTGGAATTTCACCCGATAATTGATTTTTGTTTAACCTCATATCACTCAAGTTCTTCAATTGAAACAGTTTTTAAGGAATTTCACCGGAAAATTTGTTGTTGAATAGCAGAACATCACGCAAAGCTTGGCAATTTCCAAGCGATTCAGGCACGGTCCCGGTGAAAGAATTTGAGGAAGCCGCCACGCGGAATAAAGTCTTCCCGGCGCATAAATTTTGAGGCAAATCTCCGGTGAACTGGTTGTCGGAAACCTCGAAATATTGGAGTTTCGAATGAAGACCGAATTCCGGCGGCAAAGTACCATTGAGTTTATTTTCGAACACCCGGAAGATCTCTAGGGCTGCGATTTGGCCGATGCTGGGTGGTAATTCGCCGGAAAGTTGATTCGTATACAGAATCATGACTTTCAATTGATTCAATTTTCCGAAATCAGATGGCATCGAACCTGTCAAATTGTTCGTGGACATGTCCAATTTGATCAAGTTCAGTGACTCGATCGGAGTCGGAATTTCACCGGACAAATTGTTATTGTATAAATAGACATCACTCAAGTTCTTCAATTGGAACAGTCCTTGAGGAAGTGGACCGTCCAGATGGTTCACAGCGAGATCCAAGTGTTGAAGACTGGACAAATTCGCAAAACTATCCGGTATTTTCCCGATCAAGTTCGTCCTCGTCATCGACAAGTACTCCAGGTTTTTCAAATTCCCCCACTCTATCGGAATTATCGATGGCAAAAGCAGAGTATTATAAGCCATACTTAGATTCACTAGATTCGCTAAATTTCCGATTTCGATCGGAACCGTGCCGTTGAACAGGTTTTGCCACAGGTGCAATGCCCGGAGCTCCGGTAACCGGCTGATTGCCGGCGGGATCTCGCCGGAGAAATTGTTGCCGCCGACGTTGATGAACTGGAGAGAGGATAACCGGTCGATGTCGGAGGGTATTGGGCCGACGAAGAAGTTCTGAGAGAGGTCTAGGTATTGGAGACCGGAGCAATTGTAGAGAACCGTAGGGAAGTCGCCCTGGAGGTAATTGTACGAGAGGTCGAGCACGGTGAGGTTTTTGAGGTCGCAGATCAACGGTGGGATTGTGTCCGTGATGTTTTTGTCGTGGAGGAGAAGTCCGGTGACTGTGCCGGCGGTGCACTCAATCGCCGGCCAGGTACACGGCGAGGATGAGGAGTTCCAGGAGGCTGTCCACGGCGGACTCCGCCATAGCTGTTTGAGATTGAGTAGGGTTGTCTGATCAGCGGTGGTGGCCGGGGACTGTGAAATTACGTGGAAGGGCATGAGAGTGAGGAAGAAGTAGAAGAAAGAGAGTGGGAATTTTGAGAATGGTGAGGTCATTTGGGACATTTTTTGGGGTTTCAATTAGTTAGGGACCCGATGGTTCTGTTATTTTTATTTCCCGCGAAAACAAGGTCTGACTTTCAGACTTGGTGAGCTCTCATGTGCGTTTTGGATTCTCACTTATAGGTGTTGCAGTTTTCGCTTTCTTTATTTGGACCCCACATTTTAATAATTTTTATTATAATTATTTTTTCTAATGCAAAATTTTAAGAGTTGATTGGTAAAAAATCTAGTTGTACAGGTCCATATATTATTAATATTAACGTCTTATGTGATAATTACATCTAGTGGTGTTTGTGATTCGGTTGTAATCGAAAAATTTCTAATTCGCCCTCCGTTTATCAAATGGATATGAATTAAGCGGATTGACAGATTAATACGAATTGGTTTGACGGTTTAAATTTTTATAAATTTTGAACATAATACAACTTGTCAACATTTTTTTTTATAACAATTTAACTCAACATAACTAAAAAATTATCAAATAAATTGTCAAATATCAATAATAAATGCGTATAAAAAAATCATGCATTATCAAAATTATTTCATTACTTTTTTTATTCAAAAACTATTTAGTTTGATTTTTTTAAAAAAATGACAAAATTAAACTTTATATTTTGCACACAAAAATACCAAATATCAACACTTACTATTTGATAAAAGAATTTTTAAATTAAAAATACAACAAAATACAACATTTTTTTTTATAACAATTTAACTCAACATAACTAAAAAATTATCAAATAAATTGTCAAATATCAATAATAAATGCGTATAAAAAAATCATGCATTATCAAAATTATTTCATTACTTTTTTTATTCAAAAACTATTTAGTTTGATTTTTTTTTAAAAATGACAAAATTAAACTTTATATTTTGCACACAAAAATACCAAATATCAATACTTACCATTTGATAAAAGAATTTTTAAATTAAAAATACAACAAAATATCTAAACTCATAAAAAAAAATAAATAAATAAATAAAGATTCTTTCTCATTCCCTCTATAAAATCAAAGTCCATTCACATTACATTTTACATTTTTCTTATTTATTTATAACAAAATTCAAAAAATCATTTCTAAACATATTAATTTATTGGTTAAATTACAAATATGCCTCCTAAAATTTGCTTAAACTATGAATTGTTTTATGTGGTTATTGAAATTATATTATGCCTTTTCAAATTTCAAATCGCATAACAAATCACTTATTTTTATTAATAAATCATTAAGTTAATTAATAATTTTTAGTGATGTCAAAATTATATTTCAATTAATAATTCAGGTAATTTTATTATTCTATAAGAGAACAGTTAAAATTTTATTTTATTTTTCTAATTCTGTTAAATAAAAATTTTAACAAATAAATAATTATATAATTTTTAAAATTATAAGGGACAATTCATTTTTTCTTATTTTTTGTGAAAATTAAATTTCAGAGTAATTTTTTAAAAATAATAGTCGATGAGTGATAAGTTTTATAAAAATTAATAATTAAAATTATAAACTTCTCTATGTATGTGCAATTATTTTCTAAATCACCACTGAATTGTAAATTTTTCAATTTTTTTATCCTTCCTAAACCCGCATCATCATCATCCGAAAAAACAGAAGAAGAAGAAATTCTATGATTCACACACTTTAAATAAAAAAAATGAGTCCACGTTATGGTCAAAGTCTAACCATAGGGGAAAGTGCCATTTGAAGCTGGTGATGTGGGGGCAAGTGAGAAGAACTTTCGTACTATATAATTCTATTGAAATTTGCATCGTTTGTTTGGTTGTTGACGTTTTGACTTCTCCTACCCGTTAAACTTCCACACATAGCTGATGGATGTGCATCACCCATATCATATCCCTTTCTTTAAATGCTTTTAATTTTATACGGAAAAAGTTAGTGGAATATTTCTTTAAATGTTTTTAATTTTGGAAAATACTTCGTAGCTTGAAATAGATGGCTTGAATAGTGGCTCGAATACTCAAAATGACGTCATTTTAGGTATTCTTTTTCTTTTTTTTTTTTCTTTTTGCTTCTCTTTCGAACACAAAGGAAAGGAAAGGAAAGGGAAGGGAAGGAAAGGGAAGGGAAGAGGAGAGAGAGAAGAGAAGACGAAGAGAAGCAAAAAGATCAAGGAGACAAACAGAAAGGTAGGAGGCCCTCTTTTGAAGAGAAGCAAAAAGATCAAGGAGGCCCTCTTTCGAACACAGAGGCGATGGTGGTGATGCCGGTGGCGACTTAAAGGTAGGACTGGTTTCATTTGCTCCCTTGCCTATTATGGATCGAGAGAGGGCAACAGCTCTTCCTTCTGCTAAGCCCAATCGAGTGAGTTGTTGTTGATAAGATGTTGATGAAGTTGTTGTTAAGATGATGAAGTTGTTGATACAAACCCACCCGATCTCTCTGTGTATATGGATCTGAATGAAAAAGAAAAAAAAAATGTTTATGTTGATGAAGATGCTTGAAACTCTGTTTCGAGCTCTCTGTGTTCTCTTCTTTCTTTTTTTTTTTCTATGTAGATCTGGATCTGAATGAAAAAAAAAAAAAAAAAAATCTGCTAAGCCCAATCGAGTGAGTTGTTGTTGATAAGATGTTGATGAAGTTGTTGATAAGATGATGAAGTTGTTGATACAAACCCATCGGATCTCTCTGTGTATCTGAAGTTGTTGATAATGTTAGCTTTCCCATATTTTTAATTTGGCTTTGATTTGTTAGCTCTCTAATTGGTTATTTTGTTGATCAACAGTTTGTTGATAAATGATTCCGATAGAAAATAAATCTGTTGATTCATTTTGTTAGCTCTAAACAGTAGAAGAACAAATTGGTTTTGATTTGTTTTGTTGATTTATTTTGTTTTGTTGATTTTGATTTGTTAGAAGAACAAATACATTTATTTTGTTGATTTATTTTGTTAACTATTGATCAACAGATTTGTTCATCTCTCTCCATTGATTTATTTTGTTAGCTCTAAACAGTAGAGGATAGAAAGAGAAAGGAGACAAAGGGTTGTTGATACTAAACACGCAGAGTTCTCCATTGATTTATTTTGTTATCAACGTTTTTCATATTTTGTTGATGAAGGAATCTTTCATGAAACAGAGCAAGGAGACAAAGGGAAAAACGCCCGTAGAGGATAGAAAACAGCATTCGGGCCACTCTCGAGCCACAACATTCGAGCTACCTAGCGGGGTCGTTTAATTTCATACGGAAAAAGTTAGTGGAATAATTATTATTATTATTTTTATTATTTTTTATTTTTTACTTTTAAAGTAGCAGGGGAGGTTTTATATATTTTTTATTATTAATTAAATTTTTTTTGATAAACTTTTTTTTGATTATATTAAATTTTTTGTGTTAAATTTTTTTTATAAAAATATTGAGAAAATCATAATTACTATAAAAATATTATATATCATTTATATTATAAAATTTTAAAATAAAAAATTTTAAAAAAATTCCTCTTTCATATACTCTTTTTCATTTTAGAATGATACCTGTACGGGGAGTAAATATCCGTTACCGCCTATATTCCTCGCGTCCAAGCTTCGCTTCGATTAGATTAACCTACGAACACAATGGCGGTGAGCTACCCGGCAGTGTGTTGCCAGAAAACCCCTCCGACAGTCAAGTTAGCACACACTTAGAGAGAGAAAGAGAGAGAGAGAGACGAGTTGAGTGTAAGAGTTTCTCTCACCAATTGATGTCTTCATCCTCAGCATATGAGGCGCAGACATACTTATATACCTTCTGCGCTTGCCTCTGCATCCATTCACCATCTGACGTGTGGACTTGCTCTTCTATCCCATTTCCCCACGTGTCAGTGCAAATTCAGCTAAACACCACCTAATCGAACTGCCAAACGGCGTTGGCGTGAACAGGCAGCCCGGCGGCCCTAACCCAGCCTCCTGTGACCGTATTACTACACGAGATGAATAGTGCTCCTCGCCGGGCTCCATTACGATCGAGATTAGTAGCCCTTTGCTACAGCCGAACTCACGCTCGGTTGGGCCGATCCGTAGAGGGCCTTACTCGCCAAGCTGAATGTGCGACCAATGGAGACTGGGCTAACAGAGAATCATCTCGGCCGAATAGGGTCTGGACTTCAACCGAGCAAACTTCCCCCCGGCATGGCCTGGACCTGTAACAACCCTCGTCACTATTTACCGATAAACTACTGATTACCGTTAAACTGAATTGATTATGACTGATAAATGAACTGAATAAACTACTGAACTGACTGACTGAAATTGAGACTGACTTGACTGAGTATATCTGTTCAATTGTACGTCTATCTGTTTGATTGTTTGATTATCTGTTTGTGTTTTATGTTTAAACTGCTAATTGAAGGCCTTATCAGCGGCCGAACCGGAAACCGATTAGTGTTTTATGATCATCGTAATTTATGTGATTTTATGGTGTAATTACCTGAAAACTGATTAGGTATGATTAAATTAGATTAAAATGAGCTAAATTGCATAGTTAGTCTTATTTACCATTTTGCCACATGAGTGGCCCACTACATGATCAACATTTGAGCCTTAGTATACACCTAGGCACATTTTTGCTCAGCTCATTCCTTGCCTTTGCCGACTAGAGAGAGGGAGATAAGGGAGAGAGTTGATTTCGTCTCACTTTAGCTTGTGAATTGCTTGGAATTGAAGAAGAAATTGCATATTTGAGCTTCCCTTCCTTGAATTGGAGACCTAAGGTAGATTAATTGCCACTTGTGTATGTTTTGAATTGATTCTTGCATGGTTTTGAGCAAATTGAAACCTTGAGCCAAGTTATGGCTCTTACTTGTTGAATTGTAGCTTAATTGTTGCATGCATGTTACCATTGAAGAGTTTTGAGGTTGTATATTCATGATTCATCGCATGCATGTCCATGTTTTCAGGGTAGACCATGTTTTCATCTTGTTTTTGGAACAATTGGCTCCTTAGAGCATCAAATTGAAGCTTTGATATGGTTTAAGTTCATGCATGTTTGCATGTTTTTCAT